GGCCTTTGCGATGGTGGGGCCGGGCTGGGGGGGGGGACCGTGCCTTCCCTTAATCTGTGGAGCTGGGCGGCGAGCGTTTGTCTTGGTGCCGTGATGGCTGTTTGGAGGGGCTCGCGACCTGGGGCAGACAAACCAGCCAGGGCTTCCCGTGAGACCATGAAACACTGTTTAAAGAGCCGCAAGGTCATGTCTGGACAGTTCGGTTTTCATTGAGTCAAGCAGGAGCAGGAGTGGTAAGAATGGTGAGGTTTCACAGACCCGTATCCGGAAAAGCCTGGAGCTGAGCATTGCCGTGGCAAGTGGAGGGTGATGACAAATTAAAACATCATTTTTCTTTTTATTTTCTTCCCCTGCAAAAATTAGTCCGCCAGTTCTTCGCAGAATTCTCTGACTCGGAGCCAGAAGCCGTTGAGAGCAGCAGTGGCATCTCTGCTGAGTGGGTTTCATACTCCAAACATACATATGTTGCGCAGAGTGGCTGATTATCCTCGGGGACAATTACTGTCAGGTTCCAAAATGTGTTCAATGAGCCACAATTGCTGTTTATCCAGCTCTGAAAAGCCTGTGCGCGGGAGCGGTGGGTTACATTGTCTGCCTGAAGCAACGTTTCGCCATCCGGAAACATCTGCTTTCTATTTAAAGCACTGGAGAAGGAATGGGAGTATTTTTGAAATCCACTCCCTAAGCATCAAACAGCAAAGAAAAGAGAATAAAATTGGGTATGAAGGTAGTTTCTGTTCTCTGATACACACTCTCCTCAGCTTTTCCCTGCTGGGAGGGAAAGGCGGCCTCCTGGGTTGGAAAGTTCTGCTTCTCTTGAGTTTTTCTATTTATACTGATTTGCACACTTATCGGAACGGACTTCTGTGTCCTAGTTCCAGTGCTTTTTTGCTTTTTCAGGTGAGGCAAGATGATCTCTCAGAGCTGGGAATCTGCGTTTCTGAATTTTGGGGCGAGGTTTATAGACTTCTCTGATTTTGCCCATCACGATGGAAGGATTTGTGATATGTAGTAGACTTTCTATGATGGTCAAGGTATTAGTTCTCTTTTGCTGAGTAATAAATTGCCACAAACTTAGCAGCTTAAAACAAAAGACTCTCTCTGGGTCCAGAGTCTGGGCGTGGCTTAGCTGTGTCCTCTGCTTCTGGGTCTCTTAGGAAGTGTCTTTAAGGTGTCAACGAGGGGTGGGGTCTCAGGAGAGATCTGACCCCCAAGTTTCCAAGTGGTTTGTTGGAAGAATTTCAGTTCCCCACGGGGTATTGGGCAGAGAGCCTCAGTTTAGGGCCTCAGTTTCCCTCTGGCTGTTGGCAGGAGGCCACTCTCAGTTCCTGCAAATGTGGGTCCCCCCAGCATGGCAACACACCTCACCAAAGCCATCAAGACAGTCAAGAGAATCTGCTAGCAAGACAGACATCACAGTCCCGTGTAGCTTACTTACGCAATGACATCCCATCACCTTTGTTGTATCTTTTGGTTAAAACAAGTCACAGGTCCCTCCACCACCTCCATCATCAAGCTCGGGGCAGGGAAGGGGATTTCATAAGGGCATAGTGACTGGAGGCTGGGATCACTGAGAACCACATCAAAAGCTGCGTCTTACAGAAAGCTATTCTTTCCGAAAGAGTGGAGCGTAATGATTAAGAGGAAGGGTGACCATGTCCCTTGGACCTGCTTTTACGTCTCAGATCTGTCACTTACTGTGTAACCCAAGGCAGGTCCTTGGCCTCTCTGAGCCCCCATTTCCCCACCTGCACACCTGCCGCAAAGGATCTTTATGATCCTAAAGGAGAGGTCACGTGTAAAACATGGCAGGTGGAAGGAGTCAGTAAATACTGACTTACTTAATCCTTTCTTCCTCCTTTTCTTTAAACACCATTAGATTTGTGAATTTTAGAAGAATTCATTAGAACTCCCCATTGGCCTCAGACGCAGTTATTCATGTGGAAATCTCAGTCCTGTGGGCAGTTTCCTGGGTTCAAGGCTGCGATCAAACTGGCCCCAGCTTGCCCAGGACTGAGGAATGCAGGTCTCTGGTCTCCCCCGTGCTTGTCCTCAGCAGGGGTGTGGGACTCCCCTCACCTCTCCCCTTGCAGAGGCCTGACCACGGGACACCCGGTCTGCAGCCACGGATGTTGTGGCCAGCTGGGTCCATGGTCCTCTTCTGACATCCTTGCATTTCTGGCCAGGGTCCCCAGGGTGGCCCACCATAGCTTTGGTCCATCCCCAGAGCCCAGCCCGCAGGTTTGGAGATGGCGGCGTCTTCATGTCTCTGTGCTCAACTTGACCTGAATCACGCCTCGCAGGTGACTCTTGGCTTTGGCTTATCCCCAGTCAGGAAGCCTCCCTGTCCTTCCTGACTGGTCTCTGGTCTCCCTGCTCCCCTCACTTCCTCTCTCCTACCGGGCTCAGGGACACAGAGTTGAAGTCAGTGATGGCTTGGCCATGCGTCCTTCCCGCCCCCCCATATCTGCCCAGAGCACTTCTGCCTCCCCACGCTTTGCACTCCCAAAATCCTGTCCTCGGTTTCATCGTAGTCCCCTTCAGGCTGTGGGAGGAAGATCTGGAATCATTCAAAGCTTGTTGTTTCTTTCCGGAGGAGAGATGCTGGCCACAGGCTCACTTCTTCCGTCTTCTGTCTAGATCACCTGTTAATGTCTCATTGTGGGTTTCTCCCCAGCTTCTCTGAGGATCAGAATCACCTGGAGCTCTTGTTAAAAACGGAGCTCCCCAGGCCGTCCCCAAGAGCCAAGTTCCTGTGGGGGGCAAGGGGGAGTAGGTTGGGGCCCAGAAACTTGCTTTTTATGAAGTGCTCAGCTAATTTCTGTCAGAGGTTTAGGAAACACTGGTCTAGAGGCGCTAAAGCCCAGACCCAGTCCCTCTTGCTCAGTGTGGAGGACGTGAGCGCAGGTGAGAGAGCCGGGCCTCTGCCCCAGCTGGGGCTCCTGCCTGACCCGGGTGCCCCTCCCCCGCTCGTTAGTGCTCGGTGGGAGGGAGGCAGAGAGATTTTAGCACAACACAATTATTTTTTTTTAATTGAGGTATAATTAGCATATAACATCACGTTAGTTTTAAGTACACAGCATGATTCGGTATTTGTATACATTGCAGAATTCCTCTAAAACTCTTTTCTGTGGTTACTGTCCTTTCCACCGTCGCCTCCTCTCGCATCTGCAGAATTCCGTGTGAGCAGGCATTTTCCTTTCTGGTGCTGTACTTCAGTGATTAGCAAAATACAGTGCCTGGGCTGGTGGTAACACAGCTGGGGAGCCCAGATGCCAGACTTCCCCATGGGGACTTGACGAAGAGCGCAGGCAGTCATGGGCACACAGGCTCCCCCATAGGCTGGCCACCCTGGTGACGGCAGATGTGGGAAATTGCAGCAGGAATGTTCCTTTTGTCTCTACGTCCTATCACCGTGTGGCTGGAAGGGTATCAGTTTAGGCTCCGGAGGGTGGGTAAACCTAACCACGTTGAGGGAAGACAGACGTCTGAGTGATCCACGTCCCCAGAGGGGCTTGTCCTGCTCTGGGATCTTGAAGGGAGATTTCGGGGGGGCAAGAAATGCTTCCATTGGTTCTTCTGGAAAGCTGGCCTCTTGAACCCATTGCATTGAGTTAGCACAAGTAGCATGCCCTTGGCTTTTGTTCTCCTGGAAGAGCGGTCATGGAAATGGGTCTGCAGCCACAACTGATGGTTGATGCTGATGTTTATGGCGATAGTATTCTTTACAGGAGGCTCAAATAGTAAATTGCTTTTCTAGGAAGACCTTTCTCTTCTAAAAGAGCTTTCTTTCCAGTAATGAGCCTCGTCTAGGCAGAATAGGTTCAAAGACTGCTTTGCTTAAAACCTCTCCATCTGGAGACCAGAACACTTGAAATTCACTTTCTCCCTTTGATTTTTTTTTTTTGTATCCACTGAGTGTCCTATATTTTATGCCACCCCTTTGGATACCATAAGGATGTTAAAAGTGAATTTGTTTTGAGTTACTTTTTAGTTTTGTTTTTATCTCTAATAAATGCTCATTAAATCTCATGAACATGATACTTCAACAGAAGTATCACCAAGTTAACAACACCACCAAGTAGATTTGAGGCATCTCATGAACAGTGGGGCCACTTTTACCTGCCGGGAGCTGCTTCCCCCCACCCCACCACCCCTGTGTGATCGTATTTGGAACACTTAAAGGATTTTTGAGCCAGTTTGCCCGAAAACCCTGTCTTTAAAATTAAGTCTATTTTGTAATGAGTTTGTGTCTCCTTTTAAATTACTTTGTGAGGTCAATAGCTTACAGAATGAAATGCTGTGGAATCGGTTTCAGATTTTTATCCATCTGCTTTATTTCTTGATGCTTTATTGTCAAGATCAAAACAATTCCCCACTTTCCAGAAAGAAACCTGGATCCTGTGTCCATTTGGTTGACAGTCATGTTAGAAATTTACAGGAGCCAAAGAGCAACAACCCTACAGAGGCAAGAAAAGCAAAAGGGAAGGATTTCCTGAATTAAGCTCCTGAACCTCCAAAGATTTCTAAGTTGGGAACATAAAACTTTAGGGCTCCATCCATTACGAGCGAAGGCGTCTTGGGTAAGATGCTGCGAATTTGAGAAGTACTTACTAGAAATATAATAGGAAGTTGCAAATGGATGGCAAATCCTAAAGTTGTGGCAGGATCCTCCAAAAGAAATGTATCACAGCATCCCGAGCACGCCAGCAGGATGTCAGACAGGACCCGGACACTCGACAGGAAGCGAGGACTCGGGACCCACATGTAGAGCGAGTTGCTCCTTGCCAGTTGCCCGCAGCCCATGGGGGGTGGGTTTCCGTGACTCCCGTGCCGGCCTCTCTCCTTCCCCCTTGTCTTATTTTACTTGTCCTCCTGTATATGCATCTCTCCCGATAAGCCATTGAGATCTTTGGGGACCGCAGGAGGTGGGGCGAGAAGTCCTAAATGACACGCAAAGTCCTGCACTGACCCTCACGCGCCCTCCTCTCCTCCCGCAGAGAACAGCCCATCTTCACCACGCGGGCGCACGTCTTCCAGATTGACCCCAGCACCAAGAAGAACTGGGTACCGGCGAGCAAGCAGGCGGTCACCGTTTCCTACTTCTACGATGTCACCAGGAACAGCTATCGCATCATCAGCGTGGACGGAGCCAAGGTACCACCCGGAGGCTGATGTCACCATTCCCAGTCCCTGCCTTGTCAGCAAGAGCCGTGTGATATGGTGGTGCCCCGGGGGCTCAGTCTGTTAAGCGTCTGACTCTTGGTTTTGGCTCAGGTTGTGATCTCAGGGTCCTGGAATCGAGCCCCGCATTGGGCTCTGTGCTCAGTGCAGAGTCTGCTTCAGATTCTCTCTCCCTCCCCCCGCCCCAAATAAATAAGTAAAATCTTAGAAAAAAAGGTCAGTACGCTATGTTTCAAAGTGGAGGGGAAAGGATGCACCCAGTTCCTGCCACGTTACACAGGTGTTCCTGTATTAATCACGACGTTGGTCTAATCCACACCCTGCCTTTTTTTTTTTTCCATTTAAAATTATGGCAAATGAAAAAAAAAAAGATTTCCCTATTACCACGTTGTCTTCGTAATTAGCATTTTAATGCTTGTGTAACAGTTCCACCAAGGGCCTGCACTCTTCTTAATCTCTCCCCTTATGGTTGCCTATGTTCATGGCTTCCAGTCTTTTCCTGGTCTAGATAATGAGCATCTTTATAAAACAAGTTCTCCCACTCATTCATCACATACCTATTGCTTTCTTTTGGGTAGTTCCTTAGGCTCGATTCCTGGAGGAAATACGGTAGGCTGAGATAGTAACCATTGATTCATGGCATGTGACCACTGTGACCAGATTGCTTTCCGCAGAGTCTGTTCTTCTAGCGTGCATGAGAATGCTGGCATATTGCACACGTCCCAGCAATTATAACTAGATAGGTGTTATATCTAGTCTGGTTTTAATGTTATCATTCCTAGCGATTGAATTTGATTAAAAGATTTTGGAGAATTTCTTGAAATACCTTTTTCCCCAGGTATTATTCTGCTGTCTTCCTTGATATTTTTGCCACGTTGCTATGGTGGCAGAGTAAAGAAGGGATAGCAACAGAAGTATCGCCAAGTTAACAGAAAATAAAGTAGATTTGAGGCTTTATAATTTCTTTTCTGTCTTTAGTCAGTGTTCATCCCACTGGACAGTTTTACAATTTCCATTTTCTGCTGGCACCCTAAACTCAGTGTACCTGGGGCGCCCAGGCAGCTCCGTCAGTGGAGTGTGCGATCGTGACTTCAAGGACCATTTTGGAGGTAGTTTACTTAGAATAATTAGGTAAATCAACAAAGTCACTTATAAAAGGAGAAAATGGAATTCACTGTATTTGAAGCAGAATTCCCCGATTTGCCCTCTAAACCACCTCCCCATTTTCATTCCCTATCCATTTAGGCTGGAAAAAAAAAAGAAAGAAAAGCACAAATTCATTCCCTTTTTAGTTGGTCAGTGAGTCTGCTTTTGAAGGGCCTCACATTTATGCCTAGTGTTTTAAGACCATAACTGGTCCTGAAAGTCTTTTTTCTTTTTTAAGATTTTTTATTTCTTTATTTGACATAGAGAACACAAGTAGGCAGAGAGGCAGGCAGAGAGAGGGGGGAAGCAGGCTCCCCGCTGAACAGGGAGCCCGATGTGGGGCTTGATCCCAGGACCCTGGGATCATGACCTAAGCCGAAAGGCAGAGGCTTAACCCACTGAGTCACCCAGGCGCCCCAAGTCTTTTTTTTAGTTGGAGTATAATTAGCCTGCAGTGCTGTCTGGGTTTCAGGCTCACCATGTGTTGGACAGTTCCGTCCCTCGCGCGGTGCTCCTCACGAGAAGAGTTTTCACTGTCAGTCACCAACAAACACTTTTACAGGATTATTGACTGTATTCCCTATGCTGTACTTCTCGTCCCCACAACTCATTTATTTATCTTATAACCGGAAGTTTACACAGTGGCCCTTACAGATTTCCTCCTTCCCTCCCACCTGCCTCCCCTCTGACAACCGTCAGTTCGTTCTGATTTTTGTTGGTCCGTTTGCTTTTCGGATTCCACAAATGAGTGAAGTCATACAGCATTTGCCTTTGACTTGCTCCCTGTAGCCTGACTCCCTCTAGGTCCATCCACGCTGTCACAGGTGGGGAGAGCTCGTTCTCTCACGCCTGAGGGATGCTCCGTTGTGCGCATATGCCCCGCGCCCTTTTCCCGTTCATCGGGGACAAACACTGGGCTGCTCCGCACGTACTTTGGCTACTGTAGATAATGCCCGGGAAACACAGGGGTGCGTATCTTTTTAAATTAGTGTTTTCATTTTCTTTGGGTAAATACCCAATAGTTGATGACTGGATTGTATGGTAATTTTATTTTTGATTTTTTTGAGGAACCTCTGTACTGTTTTCCATAAGGGCTGCACCAGTTTATGTTCCCACCAGCAGTGCACGAGGGTTCCCTTTCCTCCACATCCTCGCCAACACCTGTTATTTCTTGTCTTTTTTTTTTTTTTTTAAGATTTATTTATTTGAGGGGCACCTCGGTGGCTCAGTCGTTAAGTGTCTGCCTTCAGCTCAGGTCATGATCCGAGAGTTGTGGGATCGAGCCCCACATCGGGCTCCCTGCTCAGCAGGGAGCCTGCTTCTCCCTCCTCTCCTCCTTGCTTGTATTCCCTCTCTCGCTCTCTCTGTCATAAATAAATAAAATCTTTAAAAAAAAAAAAAGATTTATTTGAGAGTGAGAGAAGTCTAAGCAGAGGGGGAGAACCCCAAGCAGACTCCCCACTGAGCACAGAGCCTGATGGGGGGCTCCATCCCATGACCCTGAGATCACGACCCAAGCTGAAACCAAGAGTCAGGCTCTTAACAGACTGAGCCACCCAGACGCCCCTCTTGTCTTTTTAGTCCTGGCTGTTGTGACAGGTGTGAGGAGCTGCCTCATTGTGGGTTTAATTTGCATTTCGCTAAGGAGGAGGGATGTTGAGCACCTTTCGTTTGCTCAGGATTTTCGTAGCCTTCTGACGGCTCCCCTCTCCTGCCTAAAGCCTGTCCCACCCTCTGCCTGTAGGCCAGCAGCCCTCGGAAACAGGGGACTGGGGGTTTGAGCAGTGGAATAGAGCCTGGTGGACGCTTCTTATTCCTCAGAGCCCCCAAAGCAGAAGGCACAGAGAAGCCTCCATTGGAATGTCCTCGAGGGAAGTTGGGAGAGCCTCGTCTCCTCCTGATCTCTTGATGAGGCTCCTTGTCCTAAGACAGAATCCCCCCTTTCAGCCACGTTCTCTCAGCAGAGCGAAAACTGCGGATGACGTTGGCCGGGCACCTCGATCCTGTGTCTTTTCCTTCCGGTTGTCACAACCCTTCCTCCTACTTAGGAAGGGAGCCCAGAAGTCCTCACTTCACGGTTGAGGTCGAGGACAGGCAGTCACCCAGCCCAGTTTCGCACTGCCTGTGAGGCTTGGCAGGCCGGCGCCTGTGGCCAGACCCCGGGACACCAGCTGCCCAGCGCTATGGTTGCAGCAGGCTGGCCCTGGGCCGGTAGAGGAGCACGTCCTGACACGATGTCACGCGAGCCGCGTGTCTTCTTCCGTGTTTGGACAGCTGCAGCTGGTGTGGCAAAGATGTCTAAAGACAGGCAGGGGCTGGTTCTTTCCTCTGAGCAAGCGGGAGGAGGCAGGGCAGCATTCTGCTGAGCGCTGAGCACGCGTCGCAGTGCCTGGCACCCAGTAGGTAGGCAGTTGTGTTTGATAGTGAGTATCTGCAAGGTGCCTTTATTATTATTAATTATTATTATTGTCGTTGTTATTATTTTCTTCTGGGAGTCACGGCGATGCTGCAGTTGAATTACCTCTTCCCTTCTCTGGGCTTCTGAGCTGGAGTCGCTGTGCCTTGTGCCGGGATGTTCTGCTAGGGGTGGTGAATCAGGGTGACCTGCTTTCTTTTCTCTGTCGACGCTGTCACTTCATCTGCTGTCCTCGAGCTGGGTTTGCACTGGTGTCGGTTGAGTTATCCAGGGATATATTGGGCTTAAATATAGATAAAATGACTTGTTTTGAGAAAGTGCTGTTAGTCCTCCTGGCTGGGCTTTTAGTGATTTGTCAAAGTGTCGGGCGCTCTGTCACCCAGCTCTGCGGTTTCTGAAGGCTGTGGCGGTGTGGCGGGGTGTGAGCCACACGAGGCAGCTAAGAGAAATCAGATGGGGTGTGTGTGTGGAGGGGAGGGGGGCTGACCCCGGAGCTGCGGAACAGAGCCAGCTCAGGGTTGGCGTGGGGGACCTGTCGATTTAGGGAGTCACTTGCAGACTGGGAACCCGGCCATGGGACGCTACTGGAATTCAGAGATGGTCTGTAGTGGTGAGTGCCCAGTGCATGTGTGTGGGTGGGAGGAGCCGCTGGAGGCAGGGTGAGGAAGGGACCTAGGGCACAGGGTGGCTGACTTCTGGGCAGATGAACGGACCCTTCTCTTGTGAGACAAGAGAATAAGGGGGGGCCGGGGTCAGGAACTAAATCACAGGCTGGGTGACACCTCCCCACTGCCTCATTTGCTCATGGGTGACAGAAAGGGAGCAGTGAGCTGGGCAGTTGTCTGGGGATCTGGGATCCTTGCTCAGATCGGGCACGGGGGGATCTGAGGAGCGTCTGCCGCCGATCGGACCCACCCGCTGGAAGTCCCGCGAACGAGGCAGATGGGTGCCTCGCAGTACGGGTTCGCCTCTTGAGATAAACAGCCCCTGCGCGAGTTACATGCTTCCCACAGCAGAAAGTGTCACCTGAGACACATAGTAAATTGCATCTCTCTGAACTTTCCCAGAGTCAGCACTTGCGTTTTTGAGTAAATTATATACATTCTGGCATGCGGTGGTCCTTTTGGCAGCTGAAAGCAGAGCCCAGATGATGGCAATTGAAAGGCCTTGGAGAGGGGCGCCTGGGCGGCTCAGTCAGCGAAGCCTCTGCCTTCAGCTCAGGTCACGATCCCAGGGTCCTGGGATCGAGCCGCACATCAGCTGCTTCTCCCTCTCGCTCTGTCTGCTGCTCCCCCTGCTTGTGCTCTCTCTCTCTCATATAAACAAAATCTTAAAAAGAAAGAAAGGAAGGAAAGAAGGGAGGCATCAGGAAACTGCAGGAAGGGAGGAAGGAAGGAAAGAGGGAAGGCAGGAAACCGTAGAAACACCGTGAACACAAGGGACTACAATTCCAGAGCGTTAAGGACCGCTCAGAGGTGACAGTGACGATGGCCGTTGGCAGCTCTTTTCTGCTGTGAGCTTTTGCCAGTCCAGGCTGCAGGTGGACGCTGCTGGGGGAGGAGAGAAGCCCCCGAGGCAGGGAACAGTGGGGGCCACGGCTGGCTTCCCCACTAGATGGTGGCTGAGCAGCAGGTGCACGTGGGTCTGCAGGGACAGGCTGAATGTTTCTGCAGGTCGAGTAAAATCCCCCTCATATTCACAGAGCTTACAACGAAGACCTGCCCGAGGGGTCTAGGAGGGAACAGCGAAGGCACGAGAGCCCCAGAGACAGCGGGGGAATCGCCGGGGGGCGTCTCTGTACCCTCCTCCCCTGGGAAGGGCACTCGCCGGTGTGGCAGGATGTAGAGGCTGAAAATCCACGCCCGGCCCCCCGGGAAAAGCAGAGCAGCAGGGACTTGGGAGCTAGAATGAGAGACTGGGGAGCGAGCGGCCCAGACACATGGCCAGCTTCTCCTGAGTTTTGCCAGATTTGGAAGTTAAAATTTGGAAGGCCTCAGAGCAAAGCTGGGGACATCTGACAAACAGAACTGAATCTCCTGAAGCGTCTCAGGGAAGTGGAGATAGAGACCTGCCAGGCTCCCAGTGGAAAGCCCTAGAGGGCCTGCCCTGAGGCAGAGGCGGAGGGAGACTTACCAGACCGGAAATGGGGCCCTGACCCAGCTCTGTCCCAGAGTGAAATAGGGATTTCTTATATTCCTACCCACCCAGCAGACAAGGCGGGAAATGTCCTTTGTAGGCGACAATATCACGTGGAACCCTAACAAGTCCTTTCATACCCATTTCCCACCATATGGTGAAAAAGGCTGGACACCCAGAGATGCAAGACCGTAGGCCTAGAATCAAGAGAAGCAAAACCCAGAGAGTAGAAGCAGGTTCTGGCACAATCCAGACGTTAGAGTCAGCATCTAGCATTTCTAAAGAACTATGATTATTATCTTCGAGGAAATAGAGGGGAAAATGGACGAAGTGGATGACAGGAAGGAGGATATCCCCCAAAGACTTAGATATATTTTTTTAAAGAATCAAATGAACATTCTAGAACTAAAAAAAATGCAGAGTCTAAAATTGAGTTCAGTGACTCAGTTTAGCAGCAGATGGGTTCTGTCAGGAGCCGGGATTAGTGAACTGGAGGACAGACCAATAGAACATATCCAGATTGAAACAGAGAGAACCAAGAATCAGGGTGATAAGAACCGGTAGGAACATGAACTGTGTTGGGCGCACTCAGGAGGTCTAGCATATGTGTACTTGGAGCCCCGGAGGAGAGCAGAGAAGACGGAGCAGAAGCGGTGTTCTTAGAATGCTTGAGAATTTTCCAAAAAAAAAAAAAAAAGAAAGAAAGAAAGAAAGAAAATTGAGTCTACAGGTTTGAGAAGCTAAATGAACCCCCAGCAGGATACAGATTCAGCTCTTGAAACCTGTTCGTCCTTGCTCTGTAAGTAGTACATACTTTAAATTCCTTTTAACCACTTACTAGCTATGTGACCTTGAATGTGTCATTAGACTTTGTTGAGCCTCAGTCTTCCCGTCTGTAAAAATGGGGATGAGAAAGAAGACTGTGTGAAAAAGTGCTTTAGGAATTATTACACTGTAAAGAAATACCAGGGGTCCTCCCCTTTGTTATTCCAGCCTGACTGACCCTGGGACAACGTGTTTGGGGCGAACTCTGGAGGTGTGTCCTGTACTCTGCTCAGCCTCTGTCCTCTGCCTTTCAAGAGGGCTTTGGGGAGGGGTTCTGGAGGCTGACTTAGAGGCATAGGAGCACAAAGATCTAGAAAGAATCAGGTTTCTGAATGGGTCTGGTGATTGCTTCGCCCTCCTGGAATTCTGGTAATTGGGAGGTGACCGGGGTTGGCTTTCTGGGATCACGTGATCCACTCTGATTCAGCGCCCAGCCACACACCTGCCCCCAGCCTGCTCTGATTCCACCATATCAGTCCCGCCTGGGGCTGAGCCAGACCCCAGTCAACCTCTGAAGTCCCAGAAGCATTCCTTTATGCTCGCCCCTGGTTTAGGTCTGCATTTTCCATGCCCCACTCCCCTGCCCCCATCTCCGATAGTGTGGGATGACAGCAGGCGGAGCTCTGGACCCGCTCTGCTTGCTTCCAGTTATCTGCAAAATGCTTGATCACGTGTCTTCACTCGCGTGAACTGTGGTGTTCTAGGAGTTATCACAGTCAAGGGAAAGGACGGGGAGTGCAGTGGAGGCATCCACGGTACAAAATGAGAAGCATGTTGTATAGAAATTCCAAATGCAGGTTTCTGAGTCTTTTCTCTAGGCTCTGCTCCTTACCAGGTCATTTCCCCCTGTGACATGGAGGGGATGATAGTCCCACCACACATGTCACGCGAGCTGATGGAAGTAAACCATTCAAGGCATGCTAAATACGTAGTAATTGCTGTTCTTAGTATTAACTTCCAGAAGTTATTTTGGCAAATAAACAAGGTTTATACTTGAGCTAATGCCTCCTTAGAAAACTCGGTAGGGGGCGGGGCGCCTGGGGAGCTGAGTTGTTAAGCGTCTGCCTTCAGCTCAGGTCATGATCTTGGGGTCCTGGGATCGAATCCTGCCTCCGGCTCTCTACTCAGCAGGGAGCCTGCTTCTCCCTCTCCATCCGCCTCTCCCCCTGCTCGTGCTCACTCTCTCATGCTCTCTCTCTCTCTCAAATAAATAAAATCTTAAAAAAGAGAGAAAGAGAAAGCTCAGTAGGCATTCATATACACATAGCGATGATACCTCTGTTTCTAGAGGCGACTCTGACTCCCTGTTTGGGTCTCTTTATTAGTTAAAGCAAGAATCTGTGTCCACAAGGTCCGTCCTTCAGCGAAATAATTGGCTGACGTTCCCACCGTGGAAAGGGAGGCCATGCTTGTCAGCGTTTTCTCTTCCCTGTTTTATCAGTTATGAGTGGAGCTGACTGTTGAGAACGCACATTTTCTTAATAAGGAAAACTGCTAGTAGATTCATGCTTTAGTATACTTACAGGCACACCGCAGAGATACGTGGGTTCGGTTTCAGACCGAGGCAATAAAGCAAGTGTCACGATTAAGCACGTCACGTGAGCCTTGTGGTTTCCCGAGTTCGCAGACTCGTCATGTGTGTGCTGCGTCCGCTCAGCGCGCCACCGCAGGACTTTGGGGAAAGTCCATGCCTTAATTAAAAAATGCAGTTTTATTGCAAAAGATGCTAACAATCCCCTGAGCTTTCAGTGAGTTGCCGTCCACGATCACGGGTCATCATCCCAAGGACAGGAATTGACAATGTTTGAAATGCTATGAGAATAATCCAGGTGTGACACGGAGAGGCGAATGGAGCGAAAGCTGTTGGGACGGCGGCGCCCGCAGACTTGCTTGACGCAGGATTGCCGCGAACCTTCAGTTGGTAGAAAGTGTGGTTATCGGGGTGCAGGACAAAGCGAAGCCGCGGAGCCAGATTGCCCGCACTCAGAAGGCTCTGTTTCTGCTCAGATCGTCACAGACTCTCTCACGGGGGGTGTGAGCTGTGGGTTCTGCCCTCCAGCCTGGCACAGACATCCGCTTTCCCCACGAGTGTCCCTGGGAGGCTTAGGGCTTCGAAGGGCTTCTGCCCGGGTGAGCCTCCCGCTGATTACTCACTAACACTTCTGGATTGTTCATTGGTTGTTTACATGTCTCTCCCCCCTTCCTACTTCTGCTGCGGGAGGATCAGGAGTCCGGACTCCTCCGCCCCTTGTCCTCGGTGAGCAGCGCGCTGGGCCAAGTAGATGCTCGGTGGACGCGGAAGGCCGGATCCCACCGGGGCTGGAGGGCCTCCTTTTATCCCCGCTTCACTTGGTGCCCTCGCTCCCCTGCCGGGGTCTCCGAGAGGCTGATCTGCGGGCTCCAGCCCTGCGTCCGCGGAGTCTCTGGCTTCTGGCTGGGGCCGGCCGCTGGCAGGGACCACAGGGCAGAAGTGAGGGTATCCGTTCTGTGGGCTCCCTCCGGGGGGACGCCGGGCGCAGACTTGTATGTCAAGATAGCCTGTGGCTGCCGACCACGACCCTGGCCTTCTGCAGCCTGTGGCCTCTTCCTCCCCTCATCCTTTCAGGCCACGGAGGGGGCACCATTGAGCGCCCAGTCCCTGCACCCCTGCCGACAGCTTCTCTACACCCCGCTCGTACCGCTACCGTTGCTTTCTTTGTAAATTAACCGTCCACGATCATCCCGATCGGAGCACGGCTATTCCTTCTTGTCGGGGAACGACGAGCCCCAGTCGCCGATGGAGATTCAAAGTTGTTCAGGCTGCACATGGGGGCTCCAGGTGCTTGAAAAGGGACATAGCGTGGCTCCTCCGAGAGTGTGCGGCGTGGCTGGCTCACCCCTGAAGGCTATCGGTGCCCCGGAGCTCTGGGGAAATAAACAGCAGTTTGGGAAACTAGTCTCTCCTTAGGGCAGACTTTCTCCCGCCAACTGTAAGATCTTATTTTAGAGCGACCATCTGTTTTTAGGTCTCTGCAAGGACCCCTGATTATGGGTGTGTGTCTGATTCGGCAGAGGCTGTGCTGGGAGGCCCCGGGGGCAGGTGCCGTGGGGCGAGGGTGCGCGCGCACTGGGTGCTCGGTCCAGGTCAGACCCAGCGTTCAGCTCCTCTTTGTCTGGCTCTTTCCTGCAGGTGATCATAAACAGCACCATCACGCCCAACATGACCTTCACCAAGACGTCGCAGAAGTTCGGGCAGTGGGCTGACAGCAGAGCCAACACCGTGTTTGGCCTGGGGTTCTCCTCCGAGCAGCAACTGACGAAGGTAAGGCGGTCGTCCCGTCGCACGCTCTGTCCCTTGGTCCCCGGATGCCGCCACTGGACAGAATTCCTCTCCAGGCTTTGATTTGAGCCCCTCTGGTGCCGCAGGGCTGCCCGACCCGATGACCTTTTAGAGACCCCAGGTGCCCCGAAGTGGAGCCGTTGTTGGGGAAGGAAAGCTCACGTGCCACCTGCCCCTGCAGAGCCTGAGGTCGCGGCCCCAGCAAACCGCTCTACCTGTGGTTCTTTCCCATGTGGGGTCACCCCAATCCCTGGGTCCCACATGCACCTGACAGCTGTCAGCATCAGTGACCCGTTAGCAGAGGGTGGGGCTGCCGGATACCGACAGCACACAGTTCCCGCCCTGGGGTCCCCATACCCCTTAAAAGGTCACAGTGTTTGGGGTACAGGTCGCTTTTTTCCCCCTGGGGAAAGGATTCATAGCTTTGATTTGATTCTCTGATGGGGCTTGGGACACACTCTGTAGACAGTCAGAAAGGCGTCGAGGAGCCGATGGTGACTGAACACAGGTGGAAAACCCCAAGGTCTGTGGGAACAGGCTGAGCGCCTCGGATGGCAGGACGGAGCTTCTCTGGGCAAGGGGGTCTCCTCGTCATAGGCTGCTGGAAGAGCTGTGTGGGGTATGGGGAAGGCCTTGCCCGAGAGCAAGACTGGCTAGTTTACAGGACACAGAACTTACAGGAAGGACGTCAGAGGGTCTCCGAGAATCTGAGGGAGTGTGGAAAGGGAAGGGCCAGAGCCGGACTGGCTGCAGGAGTCTTGGCTTTAGGACTGACGTCTAGATGGTTGCTGTGAACGTACTTCCTGAGCTGTGGCCGGGCCCACGCGGTGCCAGGTGCTGAGAAGACAGAGCTGTGGTCCGTCCCAGAGGCGTTCACAGAATCCCAGATTCCAGGGGACTTGACTGGGTTGCTGTGTATACTGAAGACAGCTTTCGGGGGAGGGCGGTGGAGACAGGTCGGGAAGCCACCATGCAGGGGCCCACAGATTTGCACCTCGCGTCTGTCTAGCACACGAGCACAGGCTGTGCACACACACACACACCTACACACTTATGCACACACACATATTTCTAAGGAGGCCTGCAGCCTGCAAGGCAGCCATCGTACCTCCAGCAGGAAGGAGCCCCGATGGAGGACACCCCACGGACCGTGCTCTTTGGCATCTCCATGTACTTCCATGGGGATACCACTCCCTAGGAGCCCCAGAGACCGGAAATGGCCTGGTGGCCCTCTGGGCATCCCTCTTGTGCCTGCATGCTCGCAGAAGCATTCTTTCCTGGGTGACAAAACCTCCCCTCCAGGGGCGCCCGAGTGCCTCAGTCCATTAAGCATCTGCCTTCAGCTCAGATCATGAGCCCAGAGTCCTGGGATCAAGTCCTGCATCGGGGCTCCCTGCTCAGCGAGGATCCTGCTTCTCCCTCTCTCTCTGCCCCTCCCCCTGTCCGTGCTCTCTCACTGTCTCTCCAGTAAAAACATAAAATCTTTAAAAAGTAATAATAAACCTCCCTTCCAGTTCATCAGGGCCCTGACACAGGGAGGGAAGCAAAATTCTTGAGTCTAAGTCTTCGGGTGTCATTGTGGAAACAATGTCTTTTGGTCCCCGGACTCGTGTGCTGTGCCTTAGAAGGGAAGCAGCGTGTCCCACGCGTCTGGAAAGCATGTGTTGTGACGGGCAGCCCCGCAGAGTTCTGCAGGGTGAGAGGACTGAGAATCCTTCACTTCATTTTGTCTGCGGAGAAGTGAGTTTGCTGGTTTGAGCCAGTGCTGTGTGGAGTAGACGACCTCAGCGGCAGCTCTCTGAGCGGCAGGAAAGCCGACGGTGTCAGGTGAGGACGAGTCACTGTGTCCTGTGGACGAGGGGCCGAGGCAGGCGGCTCTTCACCAAGCAGCTGGGTGCTCACGTCAGGGAACAAGGCGGAACTGGGGGCTGCGGTGGGATCACTGTGGTTGGCGGTGGGCACGCAGCCCGCCAGAGGTCGGGGTGGCCTGGAGAGCAGGAGTGAGTTGTCAAGGTCAACTGGTGCCTGTCTCCCTGGCACCCAGGCCAGTGTGTCTGTGAGCCTTGTGGCAGGCCCTGGGCTGCCAGGAGGAGAAGGTCTGGGTGTCCCTAGATCGGCCCTAAGGATTCCCTTTGGCACGAACGCGGGGAGCTGGGGAGACTATCTTAGTCCATTCAGGCTGTCAGGACCCCGGGCCACACACCGGAGAGCTCATGCACAGCAGAGCTGGGCTCTCGGAGCTCGGGGGGCTGGAAGGCTGAGACCAGGGCGCTAGCGCCGTCCGCTTCACGGGAAGGCCTGCTGCCTGGTTGTTTGCCGGCACCTTCTCGTGGTGCTCTCCCGTGCTGGAAAGAGAGCCGGGGGGCTCTGTGGGGTCTCTTATGAGGGCACCTGTCCCATTTATGCAGGCACCTGTCCCATTTATGCGGGCTTCACCCTCCTGAGGTGAGAGGTGACCTCATCACCTCTCAGTGGCCCTACCTCCTGATGCCTCACCCTGGGGCCTAGGATCTCAACATAGGAACTTGAGGGGGTCACAGGCTTCCAGCCGGTTGCAAGCACTCATGTGGGATGTGAGAATCTTCAGACTCCAGTTCCACGGGACCCCCTGGGTTCCACTGATGTCGCTCTTCCCAAATCTCTTTGTCACTAACCTTCCAAATTTGTTTCTTCCCAGTCCCTGCCCAGGCATTGAGGCCCCGACCATTTCCCTAGGGTTCAGGGCAGATCGTGACCCCAGGCCACCTGCCCTGTGCACACTGGACAATGAGACGTTCCAAGTCACGTCCCCGGGGGAGGACTTCCCTTTTCCATCATCCTCTGCACAACAGCAGCAGCATGAGTAAACCCATGACACCCCGGGAGAGAGGCTGTGACCAGGATGTGGGGGTGTGAGGGTGGGCAAGGCTGTGGCCAGAGCCCAGCCCAGGACTTGAGACCGTGGCCTGTGAGAGATTTCAAGCCAAGAAGGAAAACAAGCGGCTTAGAGTCATAGGCAGGTTTTCCCGGCAGACTGGGTTGTTCTGGTGCCGATCAGGGATGCTGAGGGCCTGAGTAGGAGCCGGAGGGACTTGGGCACTACGGAGGCACTGAACCGGTGGGACCTAGTGAGTGGATGTGGGAGGCGGGGGCTCTGGGATATGGACGGACTGACAGACAGAGGGAACTGCTGTTTTCTGAAACGAAGAACAGGGCTGTGAGAATCCGAGAATTTATGTGACGTGGAAGTAGGTATGATGGTGATTTGTTGAACAAATGATACCAGCACCCGTCCGAAGTGGACAGCAGATTGGGTGCCTGTCCCCTCTGAAGGAGCACCTAGAGGTGGCCATGGTGTGGGGGTGAGGGGGATACTTGGGAGCAGCCCCCCCGCCCCCCCATGTCCGCTCCCCACACCGGCTGGTGTCCTCACACCTCTGGGGAAGCCCGCGGAGAAGCAGAGGCTCCCGTGGGAGGCAGGGCCCCAGCGCCCCTGACCCCGCCCGACGCTCCGGGCCTTCCAGAAGCACCAACGGCTGACAGAATTGCTCTCAGGGGCCTGGAAGAATTTCTTCCCTCTTAAGAGGAATCAGAGGAGCTGGGAAGCATAAACGGTGAATGTTTGTAATGAATCGAAAGCAGGGAGAACTCAAGACAGAAATGAGAACAGATTGTTGAAGTTCACTCCCTGGGTCTCTGAGACCCGGGGAGACCTCAGGCCGTGCCTGCCTCCCCGCGCGGCCACCCCTCCCTTCCCCAGGCCGAGGGAAATGTCCTGTCATCACAGAGGAGGGCCCCATCTCCCTGAGTCCCTCGGCCGCCTTGGGCGACGCCCGTCGGACCTGCCTTTGTCACAAAAGCTTCTCGGGTGTCTCCTTTGTTCAGAATGTTTCAAGTCAACGATTTAGCCACACGCTGATAAATTACCGTCAAGTGAGGCTTGCAGTCTCGACAAGTGGCAATTAGCCGGCAGAGAGGAGCTCGGGCCTGAGGGGACGGCTGTGGCCGCACGTTCCTAACTCCTCTGAGCAGCGCCCCGCGGTCCGGAAAGAGGGCTCGGTAATCACACCCTGTGACTGGGCGAGGAAAAGGAACTGTGGCTATTTTCGCTTAAGAACAATTTACACACTGTCTCTCTCTACCCCCCGGAAGGAAAATAGGTGCCTTGGTCTTTGTTGCTCCCAAGATAAGGACCCCTTCCCACCACAGTCCCCAAAGCACTACAGGGACGCTCTCTGCCCTTGAGACAGGCTTTCCAGAAACGATAGCAGCTGCGTATTCCCAGAGGTAAGCGGGGGCTCATCGGTCCACCTCAGCCCTCCTGAAGACCCTGGGAAGCAGCTTGCATGTGCTGATAAAAGGACAAGCTGCTGAACAGAGACCCAAGGAGGTCGATGCAAACATGAGAGTGAACCAGTGGTGAGGGGAATGTTCTCTCCAGCAGCTGACCTCGAGGGGCCGCTGTCCCAAGTTTGGCTCTGTGTCACTTATCACAGACAGAAGGAAGCCCGTCCTGCCACAGAGGGGCTGATCCAGGATGGGGCTGCTAGTGCTCTGTGACTGATTTGTCTAAAGTCACACATACACACACACACACGCACACACACACGCAGTGCAGTGTTTGCCATTGACCCATTTTAATGATTTCGTCTGTCACTCAGATGTGTATCATTAGGTTCATCAAGTCTGTGCTGTTGTGGGAACATTGCTCTGTCTTCTACCTTTCTGATTTAAGGGCCGTTGTTTTAGAGTGGGGGAGATTAATCATTCTTTTGATATGTTGTAGGGAGAATGCTTTGGGCTACAAGTAACAGGAACGAGTCACAGTGCTGAAGCAAATAGCATTATTCCTTTCATACAAAACTGAAGTCCTGAGGCAGGCCATTGCCAGCATCCATACGATGGCCACGTGATGTTGGCTGGTGAGGTCTGTGCGTGACTGTTTCTTTTATTGGCCTTTTCCTCATGGTGCTAAGATGGCTTCTCAAGCTCTGTCCATCACA